AGCACACAGGAAATTGACCCCAGAGCTCCCTCTCTGACCCCTCCAGACAGGACGAGTGGATAAGAACTACCCGCTGGTCACCGGGCACACTGCCCCTGTGCTGGACATCGATTGGTGCCCACACAATGACAACGTCATTGCCAGTGCCTCAGATGACACCACAGTCATGGTAGGAACCAGGTGGATGCTGCGGAGCAGCTGGGCAGGGGAAGGGGGGAGGTCTGCCTCACCTGCGCTAGGGGAGGTGGTAAAAGGGGTGCTGGGTCCCAGGGCCCTGCCCAGCCCTGCCCAGCTCCCAGGCTATATTTAGCCACATGCCCACCCCCTCCCAGGATGCACTTCTTAAGGCTAATTATAGCCATGGCCAACTTGAGGCCTGAAGAGCAAGGGGCAGTGTTCTGAAGTCTCCTGGCTGGGGTGTAGAGAAAGGTCCCTGGAGAGCTGTCAGTGTCTCCTCCTGGCTCCCAGCTGCTTCTGCCCAGGGCAGGCATCATTACATCTTACCTACATCTTGTATTTGACCATTACCACTCAAGAGAGCCAGTAGGGTTCGGGGTGGGGAGGGGGCAATGTTGGGGAGAAGAGAGAGACAAAGCAGGTTCCTCATCCCACTCACCCCATGCCTTTTCCTCCCTCCCAGGTGTGGCAAGTTCCAGACTACACCCCAGTGCGCAACATTACGGAACCCATCATTACACTTGAGGGACACTCCAAACGTGTGGGCATCCTCTCCTGGCACCCCACGGCCCGGAATGTCCTGCTCAGTGCAGGTCTGGGGGCCTAGGGAGGGGTCCCTACTGCAGATGTGGTGGGGGAGGATGGCACAGGCAGGACCCAAGTAACCGTGACTGGCCGCTTTGGGCAGGTGGTGACAATGTGATCATCATCTGGAATGTGGGCACAGGGGAGGTGCTCCTGAGTCTAGACGACATGCACCCAGATGTCATCCACAGCGTGTGCTGGAACAGCAACGGCAGCCTGCTAGCCACCACCTGCAAGGACAAGACCCTGCGCATTATCGACCCCCGCAAGGGCCAGGTGGTGGCGGTGAGTGCCTGGCTTTGCTGTTCCCCAGCCTCCACCCCAGGAACCAAATGTCAGGCCCCAGTACCCTTGATCCTTTGAGTCCCTAGTCCTGGCTCTCGCCTCCTCCACCCTAACCTGAGGCAGTACCCTCCTCCCAGTGTCTGCAACCCCTGCTTCCAGCCCTAACGAAGCCCACGAGCCGGCCCACAGTCTTCTGTCCGCTCCTGTTCCCTGCGTTCCCTAGCACCTCACAAGCTCAGAGCAGTTCCCCTGTGAGGTTCCCCGGCACCTCACAAGCTCAGGACAGTGCTCTTCGGGTTGGAATTGAGCAGCGGAGACGCTGCAAGCTCGGTCCTTCCACCAGAACCTGCATGAAACATCCCGGACCCCTCTTCTCTCGGCCGGCACCCCGCCCCATTTTGCAGGGTCTGGGGCCCGCCACCGGCTCTCCCTCCGGGTAGGCCCCTTCCTGCCCGAGTCGACCCGCTGGGCGAGGGGGAGAGGGGACAACCCTCGCTCCTTGTTAGGCCTAGCTCGTTTCCCTGAGGGCGGCGGCCCCTGCCTCCCCGCCCTGACTCGGACTCGGGGTGCGGGTGCACGGGGTCCGTGCCTGTCCGGGCCGCGAGCGCTCTAACCCACTAACCCCGCGAGCAGGAGCGAGCCCGGCCTCACGAGGGCGCCCGCCCGCTGCGGGCCGTCTTCACGGCGGACGGGAAGCTACTCAGCACCGGCTTCAGCAGGATGAGTGAGCGGCAACTCGCGCTCTGGGACCCGGTAGGCCAGGCCGCGCTAGGCGCGCGCGCGCTCCTCCGCGGGGCCAGCCCGGAGCGCCCTCCCAGGCCGGGGCCTCGCTGGGAAAAACCCCTCTGCGGCCGCGGGGAGCCGGCCGACTTCCTCTGCTCTCGGGATCCGCCTCTGAGGGCGCTTAAAGGGCTCGGGACCCGCCGAGAGGCGCGCACCTCCCGCTCCCAACGGTCGCAGACGCTCTCCAGGCCTGGGGCCAGCCGGGGCCCCCCAGGAAGCTGAGTAGTTAGGCGCAGGCAGCTGGGTGACGCCTCTCCCTGTCTCCCCCCACCCCAGGAGAGGTTTGCGGCCCACGAGGGAATGAGGCCCATGCGGGCCGTCTTCACGCGCCAGGGTCATATCTTCACCACAGGCTTCACCCGCATGAGCCAGCGAGAGCTGGGCCTGTGGGACCCGGTAACGCAGCTGGAAGCTTGGGGTGTGTGCCCTGGGGACTGGCATCACGGGAGAGGGGCCAGGCGCCCCCCACCCGCAGGGCATGCCCACCTGGACTGGGCTGGAGGCTGCTGGCCCCTTTGCAGCGCCTGCCATCCCCACACCCACCCCTCTGCCCAGTTGTGCTGCGTCGCCTGAAGGAGCCCACGCTGGCACCCCCATCTGGTGATGCCGAGTCCCTGGGGGTGGTTTGCAGTGACTGCATGCGGCGGCGGCGCAGGGGCTGTATGTGTGGCAGCCCTGGGACTGATGTGTCCATGGGCGGGACCCACAGCTCCGTTCGCCAGAACTGCCTTGGGCACGTGCGGGGCTTGGAGCGGGTAGGAAGGGTCAAGGGGCTTCAGGGGAATCCAGCAGTGGCACGGTGGCCGGGACAGGGCTGGTCACGCCTCCTGTGCTCGGGCAGAACAACTTTGAGGAGCCAGTAGCGCTGCAGGAGATGGACACAAGCAACGGGGTCCTACTGCCCTTCTACGACCCCGACTCCAGCATCGTCTACCTATGCGGCAAGGTGCCTGGACGGCAGGGGAGGACAGGGACGGGACAGAGATATTGAGGGTCCCACCTGAGAATGTTTCTGAACTGATTGGTTTTGCAGGGCGACAGCAGCATTCGGTACTTTGAGATTACCGACGAACCACCTTTCGTGCATTACCTGAACACGTTCAGCAGCAAGGAGCCTCAGAGGGGCATGGGTTTCATGCCCAAGCGAGGGCTGGACGTCAGCAAGTGTGAGATCGCCCGGTCAGCAGCCGTTACCCTTCTCGCTCGCATGTCTGTCCCCACTTGCCATCGGAGAAGACACAGGGGCTTCTCCCATAGTGTGATCTTTGGGAAGGAGTGGGGGTATTTTGCGGGGAAGGGGGTTTGATCGGGGAGAGGGAGGGTCAACCAGGCTTGTTTCCGGCGCCAGCCCCAGCGTTAACATTCTCTAAACTTCAGTTTCCTCAACTGTAAAATGATGATAAACACCCCATCAGAGATGTTTTACCAGCTGGACCCATAATGTGTTTTGAAGTGCATGGTACAGGCTCAGCAAGTGTTGGTCTCCAACCCCTTGGTCCCCTGCAGAAAAGGGGGTGGGAGCCGGCGGGAATGCTGAAGCCCACTCCCTTATAGGTTCTACAAGTTGCACGAAAGAAAATGTGAGCCCATCATCATGACTGTGCCCCGCAAGGTAAGGGGGCGCGGAGAGGTTGGGAAGAGAGGGCTCCAAGGCGGAAGGAAAGGAGCAGGCCCGGCCCTCTGCGAACACTAGTCTTCCTGTCCCCCCACCCCCGCAGTCAGACCTGTTTCAGGACGACCTGTACCCAGATACTCCGGGCCCCGAGCCGGCCCTAGAAGCGGACGAATGGCTATCCGGCCAGGACGCCGAACCCGTGCTCATCTCTCTGAGGGACGGTTACGTGCCTCCCAAGCACCGCGAGCTCCGGGTCACCAAGCGCAATATACTGGACGTGCGCCCTCCCTCCGGTCCCCGCCGCAGCCAGTCGGCCAGCGACGCCCCCTTGTCGGTAAGATCCGGCTCGGCTCCGGCCCCGGCCCGGTCTACATATCCCCCCTCCCAACCCCTTCCTGACACAGCCTCTTCTGTCCTCCGCGCGCCGGCAGCAGCACACTCTGGAGACGCTGCTGGATGAGATCAAAGCCCTTCGCGAGCAGGTGCAGGCTCAGGAGCAGCGCATCACGGCTCTGGAGAACATGCTGTGCGAGCTGGTGGACGGCACGGACTAGCGCGGCGCGCTGAGGGCAGCTCCGAGCCTGGGGAGCAAAGCCGGGCTGGGAGCAGGACTCGGCCCCGCCCCGGCTTTCTGTCCGGAACCCCGGACCCCGCCCCTATGGGCGGGGTCCGGTGGCTGGACTGGAAAGGGAACTCCATCCCCTCGCGGGAGTCCCGGACAAACGGAGCGTCGCCGAGACTCTCGTCTGCCTGGCACCCGCCTGGCTACGTGCCTCGTCCGGGACTCAGCAGGAGCTGGCCTTGGGAGGCCCGGGGTGACGGGGACCTCAGCAACGGTGCTGCACGGCGAGGCGGTGTCCCTTCTGTCTCCCGCCTAGGGCAGGGGAAGTGCTTAGTATTAGCGCTATTGTTGGGGATATCGGGGAGCTTGGGCTTGACCTCAAAGGGGTAGCCGTGCAACGGGTCTCGCCAGACCAAATGGGGAAAGTTATAACGCTTCTCCCTCTAATCGGCTCACTTGATGCCACTACCCGAAGTGGTAAAACGGATGGGCGCACCCCAGATCTACAGACATACACAACCCATTGGCCGCAGGGCCGAACCCAGCAGTTATACCCAGCAGTCTGTGGCAGAGGGCTGTCTTCCTTCTTTTCACCCGCAGGGGAGAGGGCGGCTTCCGCAGTGCACCCCCACCAGAGAACTAACCAGAAAACTGGCATGGAAGCAGGTTCACACCCCTCTTCCCCCCGCCCCCGCAACAACTGCCCCCAGCCCTCTGATGTGGCCTCGGCTCTAGGAGGAAAACAAGATTTACTGAATGAAATATTTTACTAAGTGCTCGGTCTGTGCCTCCTGCCTGCTTGCGGGTGAGGGGGCCAAGACCCACGGCCTCTGCAAATGCTGTATCCCCAGGCTTGCGGGGGTGCTGACAAAGGCTCAGGACCCAACAGGCATTCTTTTACCTCAGAGCCCTCCCCACCCTGAGGTTCAGAAGGAACCCCCCTCAACCCATAGGTGGGCGTTCTTCCCCCAGTAAAGCCAGCTAGGAAAAGCCTCGGGTTTGAAGCCTCTTTTATTTGTGCCTCAGAGTCAGTCTGGTGCCCCTGACATCAGGGAAGGAGGTGAGAGGAACAGTTTCTCTTTGTTCTTTTCTTCTATCCCTTTTGTGTCCCTCCTGAGCCTCACTGGCTGAGCCAGGAAGGCCAGCCTGAGAGAAGGTGGACAAGGGTGTGCAGTGGGCCCCTGCCCCTAGCGGGGGTCTGTGCTTCTCTGGGTGGGTGGGGTGGGGCAGGGGAGAGCCGGGGGTTAGCACCATTGGATGAAGGGTTTGAGAGTCAGCCCCTGGCTGGGGGCAGGTGGGACACACGACCACAGAGGGCTAGCAGCAGCTGGTGGGAAGGGGTGGGTGGTGGTGCCAGGGCCCTGAGCCAGTGAGAGGGCTTCAGGGTGCACCTGCCCATAAGCAGGGCCAGGGGACAGGGTCTAGTGCTTGCCCCCAGCACAAATATTGTCCCCCATTTGCCAAGACATCATGAAGGAACCAGGCCTTGCCCAGGCCCGGGGGCCCACCTTGGGCACCCTCCCTGATCACAAAAGCGTGCCTTGGGGATGGGGACGCCAACCTCTGGCCACCCAAGGAGAAACTGGGACCACCCTGAGACCCGGGAGGGTGGGGGGGGGCTGGGGAAGCCGGGCACCCCGCTAAGTGCACTTGACGCTGAAATGCCGGGGTGAAGGAGGAGCTGGGCCCTTGACGTGCTGGTTTGTGTCTGGGACAAAGCAGCAACACAGCACGTGGGGAGCTCAGCTGCCCCCCTGGGGTGAAGAGCGGAGATGCAAAGGCTTCACGGACAGTGTCCTACAGTGGGTTCTGTGAGCAGAAAAGGAGGACTGGCCAGAAGGAGCGAGGGTTGGGGGACACTGCTCCTCTGAGGACCCGGCTCCCCTTCAGGACGGCCTGACCCCCTCGGACAAGTCTGAGCCCAAGATAGAGTGGTGGGCATCAGGATACAGCAAAGCAGGGGGACCGGGGCGTGCGAGCTGCCTCCCAGGCCCTGGCCGCGACAGGCATCCCGCGGACGCGCCGAGGCCCTCCCGGTCCTGTGCCAGGGGCGCCTCTCCGGCCCGCAGGCCTCGGCTCCAGTCTATGGCCGCAGCCGGGCGGGCACTCGGGCCCGGGCGAGTCCGGCTCCCGGGCGGGTTACGCGGGGCAGCGCCGATGGGCCCTGCAGAGGGCGCTACTGCTCGGTCAGCGAGAGCCGTAGGATACGCTCCAGCTCCTCCTCCTCCTGGCGCGCGCGCCGCCGCCGCTCCTCCTGCTCCTGCGCAGACAGCTCCATGGCCAGCCGCAGCTGCTCGTCGTAGCTCCGGAACACGTGGCCGCCCGGGCCTGGGCGCGGGCTGGGCCGGGGGCTGGGCACCGAGGCGGGGAGGCCGGGCTGGCGCTGCGGCGTCGGCGGGGCGCTCCTGGGGGCGGGTAAGATACGTCGAGGGTCCCGGGGCGTACCTGCCCATAAGCGGGGCCGGGAGACAGCGTGGCGGCCCCAGGACAGAGGAGGCCTCGTCCCCATCCTGTGGCGGCGATGAGTCCTGCATCACCTCCCTGGCTCTGGCCCGGCTGTGACAGAGCTCATCCCCTCCAAGCCCATCCTCCCGGTGGACACCGGACCAGCGCATGTGAATGCCAGCTCTAACATCCTGCCAGGTAGGGGGCTGAGGGCCTTGAGGCCGCTTTGGGAGTGCTGCTCACAGTGAGGAAAGGGTGGGGGTAGAAGCCTTCTGCAAACCAGTAGCGGCCTTACAGAGGGAACCACAGTTTCTTGGGGCCTTGAGGGGCTGCCCAGCCATTGGTATCCTTGCCCACTGCAACAGGGTCCTGAGGGACTCTGTGCGTGTGTTATTTCGGGGGAGGATTGCTGGGTCAGGACTAGAGGGCACTGACCTGTCCTGTCGGCGAGCCTCGTAGGACATGGGGTGAGTGCCCGGCTTGCTGTTGGTTAGCGCCTCCCAGATAGTGACCTGGAGGGAGCGACGGGGACCCGTTGGCTAGGTTGGCACTGCGGTCCGCAGTCTGGTGGGGCGGCGCGGTGCGGTGCGGCGCGGCGGGGACGCACCTGGTCATACTCACTGCCCGCCTCTAGCAGGCTCTGCTGGATGGCGAACTGCAGCAGGTCATCGTCGTCGTCGCGGGTCGCCGCCTCCCGCTGGCCGCCCAGCACACTGTAGCCGCGTGGGGCCTCGAACAATGCGGGGGAGATCTCGCAGCCGCGACACGAGGCTGAGGGCACCAGGCTGGGGGTCAGAGCGCGGCCGCTGCGCCCCCTCTGGCCGACGGCCCGGAAAGGGAGCCGGCCAGAGCTTGGTGGGGAGGGACGTGAGGGCAGACGCGCAGATGGGGAGGGTCTCACTGGTGGAACTGGAGCTGCTGACGCTGGACGAGTCGCTGCCTGGGGAAGGGGTCTCACTGCTGGGGCTGCCTCGCACGGACGGCACAGGCTCATCACAGCCATTGAGGTTCCCGAAGGTGATGCGAGCGTTGAGAATGTGGAAGATTGGGATTTCTGAGGATAGAGAAACAATCGGGTGCCACTACCTGGCTTCTCACACCTTAGGCACCCCCAAACTTTATCTTATCTAAGCCCGACCCACCGCCCACACAGACCCCCCCACACACACACTAGCGGCTTAGAGGAAATGGGCGTGGGGTCTCACCAATCTTGACTGGGAAACCAGGCGGCAGGCGGAGGGTAATGAAATCCCGGAGCTTGGCGAAAAGTGCATTACTGACAGCCATGAGGTCAATGATAGGGGCCACCTGCTCACACAGGGACAGGGGATGCTCCTCACACAGCCACAGCTTGGCCTTGAACCTGCCCCCCCCAGATCCCAAGGGGTGAGGGGCATAGTAGAATCCATGGCCTCCCAGTACCTTCTGGAGACCCCGCCCGGCCCTGCCCGGCCCACCCCTCCCCAGCACCATCAGGGGGCCTCACTTCTGGGTCTTGGTGGTGAGTTCCATGGGACGGCCCATGTCCCGGTTGCCAAGCTCAAAGTTGGGGTTGAAGTACTCTTCTGCAGTGATGGCAGTGGGGTTGGCTTGGCTCAGAGTCTGAGTGATCAGGGTCTGCACCACATGAGGAGGAGCCCATGAGCCCTTCTCAGTCTCTGATGCTAGGCCAACCATTTGCGATCCTGAGCCCCAGAGCCTTACCCCTCCCCCAAACCGCCCACCGTGCAGCTCACATGACCCTGGGCAGGGTGGAATGTGGACCCTCATAGGCTGTGCTTGGCAGGGCGCCTCCCAGGCTGCCTCCTGAGCCACAGCCACACCCTTCTACACAAGGGCACCCCTGGCATGCACTCACCCCATTTTGGGGACCCCCATGCTGCTCAGCAATTCCCAGGAAGGACTGCAGAGGTGTCTTACAGCCTACAAGAAATGTGGCGTCTCAGAGGACACTGCGACCCTCCGCAGTGCCAGCCCCCGAGACCTCAGGAGTAGGCTGGTTCCTGGTGGGTGGGGAGGACTATTCAGCCACACCAAACGCTCGGCACCTGCATCTGAAGGTGACTGAGGACTCCAGGGGACAGGGACCAGGACCACTATGGCACAGTGGGAATAAAAATAGGCCTGGGCCTCAGGAGAAGCTTCCAAAAGGGTTCAGGTTGGTGACATTGGACAAGAAACACCTGCCTCTGGTGAGCAGTGATGGGATGTGCGGGTGTCTGTGTGTGTTTTCCCTCAGGCACTTCCGTTTTAATGACCTCATCCGGTTCCCCTGTGAGGTAGGAACCGTCCTTCTACTCTAGGTAGACTCGCTGATGCCCAAGAGTCACGTGTGGTATCAGGAGGCACAGAGGAGCAGTGGCAGGCCCCCGGGCTTACTGCTTAGGGTATGTACTATGACGCGGGGACGGCCCATGAAGAGCACACGTGACACTTCCACCCCAAACCCAATGCAGAGACAGCAGTTACCAGTTGTCACGTTCCCTCCCAGTGAGCTCAGATGCTGCCCAGAATCTTCTAGCTGCACTCTAGGCAGTCACTCTCAATTATTAGCACTTGGCACTTGAAACTCAACCGTGTTTGTGTGAATAGTGATCCTCGCCTTGGCTGGGATGTCACAGGGAATACTGATGGAGGGACTCGAGTGGCATGGCTCTCTCACACCTCTCCCCCTCCACCTCTGCCTCATTACCTTTGACCTTGCCCTTGTGCTGTTCTGAAAGATGCTCCGTCCGCGTCCGGGTGATGAGCTCCACGTTGGATGCCCCATACACCTAGGGACAGATGAGGAAAGGGCTCAAAGACAATTCCGGTACCCTAGCCCCTGCCCCTAGGGCATTATGAACACTTCCTGCAAGGGAGGGAGGGCCCACTGGGGGCCGGCTGTTTGCTCCAATCTCCCAGCCTTTGGACAAGTAAATATATGAAGTCATTCATCCATTCTCTTATTCATTCAACAAACATTTTGTGAGGAGCCTTTATGTGCCAGGCTCTGAGACATGCATCAAGGGTACAGTGCTGAATGAACATGACTGCAGATAATCCCCACCCTTTTGGGGTTCATACACTAGTTGGAAAGACAAGAAAAGGGACAGTTATAACGTAGTATGAGACCCTCTCATGGGGGAAGCACAGGGCTGTGGGAACCAAAAGCAGAGGCCTTAGCCCAGCCTAGCAGGCCAGGGAAGCCTTCCAGGAGGAAACCATGACCCCACGGAGTTGACAGGGGCCCCAGAGGGACCAACACAGTCTCCTCAGGAGTGAAGGCCTGGCTTTGGGTGTCAGGTAGCCAAGGTCTGAACCTCAGCTCTGCCACAGATAGAGCTGTGCTACCCTTTATAGATCCTGTAACCACTCCAAGCCTGTTTCCTCGTCAGACAGTGGGCCAATACCCTACTCCACAGTCATGGCCAAGAGGGACTGGGACACTGTGGGAAAGGTTCAGTAAACATCTGTAAAACAGGAATAATAATAGCACCTTCCCAAAAGGGCTGCTGAGATTAAACAAGGGTGTATGTGTGGGTGTGTATGCTCGCACATGTGCACGCACACGTATTCATACATACGTACAAATAAACATGGGGACAGTGCCTTGAATGTGAATGTAGTAAGTCCTCAGTAAACTCTGGCCTCTTAGTCTAGTGCCCTTTCCTCCACACAGCATTGCCTCTGCACCTCCAAAGCTGAGAAAGGGTAGTCAGGACAACCCTCCCAGTTCGCTGTAGGCCAGCATTAGGGGGGCTCTGGGATCAGGGAGCGGCGGCCTCACCTTGGCTTCATACCCGTTTACCATCTCTGTCTTCTCGCTGCGCCAGCCCAGGATGCCAGTCTTGTTCCTGGGGAAGCAGAGTCATCCAGGTGAGGGCGCCCCCAGCAGGCTGGCTCAAGGGTCCAAAGGCTGTGCCCACTCACCTCTCGAAGGAGATGTTCTTGGTGTCAAGCTGTGTGGTGACGACGGGGGCTGTGAGCCGGCTGAGCACCTGCTCCTCAGTGGGCTGGGCGGCAGCGAGCAGCAGCTCACGGTCCTGCCCGGCCAGGGCCAGGGTCTCCGTGTACACCACCCGGCGGTCATGGTCTATCTCCATGACCACGGCGCTTGTGTCTGCCAGCCACAGAACAGCACAGGGTGTTGGAGGGGGGCAGAGGGGTGTCCCCAGCCTTCCCACATTGCTCACACCTCCTGCCTGCCTGACCTTGGCCCCTGAAGACGAAGCTGCGGTTCCCTCGCTGCCACGTCATGTGGTCAAAGCCCAAGAGCGTGGTATCGACCCGTAGGTTCTGCCCACTCTTCCACACTTTGTATGTGTCGCTGGGGCAGATCTTGGACACCAAGGGCACTAGGTGGAAGAGAAGGTCAGAGGTGGCTTCAGCTTGCCTGGCCCACCCAAACTGGGCCACCTTGGGGCACAGGGGTCAGGGTCAGCAGTGTGGCCAGGAAAGGAGAAGAGAACTCCCCAGTGCCCCCTACATGAATGTAGACCAGTCACTCCGACGTGAGCAACCTGCAGCCGGAGACAGGCAAGTCCTGGCCACCAGCAAGTCCCTAGGAGCCACCATTCACTAATTCACTCACTCCATCTTGCATCCCATCCTCCAATAAATATTTGTTAACCACCTACTGTGTACCAGGCACTATTCTCGTCACTGAGGATACAACATTGAAGAAGACAGGACCCATGCCCTCTGGGAGCTTACCTTCGAGCAAGGAGTGACAAGTAACAAACAAATGAGCAAATAATTATAAAGTAAAGAACGTGATAATAATGGAATCCCAACAGCATCTGAGGCCTAGCTAGGGAGGTGGCACTGAGCTGGGAACTCAACAATGAGAAGGAGCCCCAGGAAGAGCAATGGCAAGAGAGCTCCCCGCCTGGGGGGAGCAGCAGGTGCAAAAGTCCTAAGGCAGGCAAATGCCAGGAGAGGCCTCCCTCTGCCCCCTTACCCCAGCTAGTGAACTCCCATTTCATCTCCACGTAGAAGTCCTGGGCCTGGAGAATGAGAAGGACAGTGCCTCAGCCTGTGCCAGAGACAGGGCTCGAGGGCCGCGGCGGGGAGGCCAAGCGGCGGGCCCTCACCTTGCGCAGCTTCTCCAGGAGCACAGGGATGCCCGCCAAGCGCTTCACCACGCGCTGGTAGTCCCGGTACCGCAGCACCAGCTGCACCAGCTCCAGGTCCCGGGTGCTCACAGCCTCCTGAAGCACTGGGGGACAAAGACGCAATGTCATGGGGCAGAACCCTGCCCAGGGGTCCCCCGCCTCGGCTCACCGAGGAGGAGGACGTGAAGCTGGGAGACCCTGGCCATGGGGCTGGGGTGAGCAGGGGCGCCCACCTGTCCAGCCACTGCGGTTCTCCCTGCCCACATCTGCGCCGTGTGCGAGCAGCACACGGGCACACTCGAGGTGTCCCAGTGTGGTGGCCAGGTGCAGGGGGGTCCGCCCGCGGGGATCCAGCTGCTCGATGTCCACCTGGAGAAGGAGGCAAAGATGGATCCCCAGTCACTTCCGAGCCCAGCTTCCAGGCAGGCACCAGCCACCCAGCCGCCCACAGCCTTGCCCACCTCATCAGGCAATGGAAGAGACAGACACAAGGCGCGGGGGATCAGGCGGGTGAAAAGAGGCCTGCGGGACAGGGCAGGAAGCAGCTGTGAGAAAGGGAGGACCTTCCCCCTTTCCGGTCCACCGAGCTCCCCTGACTGGGTTCACTCTTCCAAGGCTCCCAAGTGGGCTGCCTGGGAAGAGTAAGCCTTGGGTTCAAGGGTAGCCTAGACAGGCCGTTGGCCAAGGAGGGCACTTGAGGCAGGACCCAGCCTACAGGGCCAAGACCACAGCTTCAGGGTGGGCTATCAGTTTAGATCTCTGGTGTATCATGGAGTGAGGTTTAACAGCAGCTGTAATAGATCGATGAGAATGAAAGAGTATGTTCATAGTACCACTTCAGACCCATGGCCTTTGCCTGTGAAACACTATGTATTAACTTTTTTATTTTCTTACAAATCCTATTATTGCTTTGTGAATAGCATGATTAACTGTATGAGATTTTTGTCGGGTGATGAACACATGTCTGTGAAACATAAGTATTTAAATATCTTTCAGAAGTCTGAGGTCTCTAGGTAAATACAATCAATGACCACATCACATAACTCCTCCTCTCCTTCCCCAAACTTGATTAAAATGCCAGTCAAAAGGCTTCTACTGCAACCATGATGAGATAAGCTGAAATCATCCTCCCATAAACAGAGGAAACTGCTGCTTCAAAATACATGAAATAATTGTTTTCAGACAGTAGGCCGCAGGTAGTCCAGGACTGTGATCCCTGGAGTAAGAGAAACAAACAAGGCAGGCCCTATGATTGCTTAGATTTCTACCTGGAGGAACATTCTAGAGAGCAGTTCAGGCAGGGGCATCTCTAGCAGAGCATGGTAGTCTTGCTGAGGTGTTGAGGAGACGGAGAGAGGCTGAGTTAGCCAGAAGTTGCAGGACAGAGTTCTAGGAAGGAGTGAGCTGTGCAAACAACGAGCTCCAGAAATCTGCACGGGGCTTCTCTGAGTCTTTGCTGAATACTAAACTCCCCTGCGGAGAGTGAAACTCAGCAATGCTGGACAGAAAAGGAGCAATAGGGTGGTAAATTCTGAGCAGTTCTCATGTCTCAGAGCAGGGAGACATTCAAGCTCCAGCCTGCTAGAGTGGAGAGTCCTTGCGGTTCGCCCAGGGCCTTGCACAGACACCCAAGAATGGGGATGCCTTAGTAGGAGGGCTAAACCATCCTGAGAGAAGAGGCTCATCTAAATCTGATCTAATAAAGATTAAAAGTAATCTCACAAGGATCAAACTGATTTACAAGTAACCTAGCTTAGTTGGTCAGAACAAAGCCCAACACTCTTTAAAGGAAGAAAATAAAATCCACATGCTTAACATGACAACGTCTGCAACATCTAATGCCCAGTTACAAACTATGAGGGAAAAAATTACTAGACATGCAAAGAAGAAGGAAACTATGACTCATAATCACGAGATACTCAGAAATGATAAAAATGGGGCACCTTGGTGGCCCAGTCAGTTAAGTGTTGGACTTTTGGTTTTGGCTCAGGTCACGATCTCAGAGTTGTGAGATTACACACCCCAGTCAGGCTTCCTGCTCCACATGGAGTCTGCTCGAGACTCTCTCTCCCTCTCCTGTCCCTCCCACCCCCACATGCACTCTCACTCTCTCAAATAAATAAATCTTAAAAAAAAAAAAATGATAGGGGTGCATGGGTGGCTCAATGGGTTAAGCCTCTGCCTTCGGCTCAGGTCATGGTCTCAGGGTCCTGGGATCGAGCCCCACATCGGGCTCTCTGCTCAGCAAGGAGCCTGCATCCCCTCTCCCTCTGCCTACTTCCGATCTCTCTCTGTCAAATAAATAAATAAAATCTTTTAAAAAAAATGATAAAGATGATGAATGGCTCAATGTGCTTGTGAGTTTACAGAAACACATGAACACAATGTTCATGGGGAAAGAATTAGAGATTAGTATAATATCTGAAATGAAAAATTCATTGTATGGAACTAACAATAGACACTACAGAATAGAAAAAAATTAGTGACCTTGAAGATATAACAACTATAGCACACAGAACAGAAATAGAGCACAGAGGAGGCAAAAAGCACTGAAGAACATTCAAAGATCCTCAACAATCTGTGAGACACTATAAGGCATCCTAACATATGTGTAATTGGAGTCCCAAAAGGATAGGATAAGGAAGTAGGAGAAATAGGAAATTTAAATAGATAACATTATCTCTTTAAAATTTTAAATTTAGGGGCACCTGGGTGGCTCAGTCAGTTAAGTGTCTGCCTTTAGCTCAGGTCACGATCCCAGGGTCCTGGGATTGAGCCCCACATCAGATTCTCCCCTCAGCAGGGAGTCTGCTTCTCCCTCTGCCCCTCCCCCAGCTCATTCTTTTTTTTTTTTTTAAAGATTTTATTTATTTATTTGACAGATCACAAGCAGGCAGAGAGGCAGGCAGAGAGAGGAGGAAGCAGGCTCCCTGCTGAGCAGAGAGCCCGATGCAGGGCTCGATCCCAGGACCCTGAGACCATGACCTGAGCCGAAGGCAGAGGCTTTAACCCACTGAGCCACCCAGGTGCCCCTCTCCCAGCTCATTCTCACGGTCTCGGTCTCTCTCTCTCTCTCTCTCTCCTCTCTCTCTCTCTCTCTCTCTCCTCTCTCTCTCTCTCTCCCTTGCTCGTGCTGTCTCTTGAATAAATAAATAAAATCTTTAAAAAATTTAAATTTATATTTAAAGAGATAAATTTAAAGAGAAATTGAAATTTAAAGAGATAACATTAAACATTTTTCCCGTTTTTTAAAAAATATTTATTTATTTAACAGACAGAGATCACAAGTAGGCAGAGAGGCAGGCGGGGGCGGGGGGAGGGAAGCAGACTCCCTGCTGAGCAGAGAGCCCGAGGTGGGGTTCAATCCCAGGACCCTGGGACCATGACCTGAGCCGAAGGCAGAGGCTTTAACCCGCTGAGCAACCCAGGCACCCCTCCAGCTTTTTTTTAATTACTGTAGGGGGTTGAATGGTGGTGTCCCCCCAAAATATTTGTACCCTAACCCCAAGAACCTATGATTATGATCTTCTTTGGAACATGGGTGTTTCTGGGTTTTTTTTAAGATTTTATTTATTTATTTAATTATTTAATATTTTATTTATTTATTTGACAGAGAGAGACAGTGAGAGAGGGAACCCAAGCAAAGGGAGTGGGAGAGGGAGAGGCAGCCTTCCCACCGAGCAAGGAGCCACAGTCAGGGCTTGATCCCAGAACCCTGTGATCATGACCTGAGCTGAAGGCAGCCACTTAACGACTGAACCACCCAGGCACCCCAAGATTTTATTTATTTGAGAGAGAGTGTGCACATGCATGTACATGAGGGGTAGGGTGGATGGGCAGAGGGAGAGGGACAAGCAGACTTTGCACTGAGTGTGAAGCCTGACACAGGGCTCAGTCTCACAACCCTGAGATCATGACCTGAGCAGAAACCAAGAGCCGGGCGTTTAGCCAACTGAGCCAACCAGGCACCCTGGAACACGTGTCTTTGATTTGAAATTAAGTTAAGGATCTCAAGAGGAGATTAGCCTGGACTATTCAGGTGGGTCTTATTTCCAAATAGATGTCTTTGGGGAGATCCACGAAGGGAGGAGAAGTTCCATGTGGAGAGGAGTCAGAGAATGAAATCGTCTGTGTGTCAGACTATTTGCTTTTTAAAATTTTATTAAAATAATGTAAAATTGCATTTTTATTTCCAGGGGAGATAAAAAAATACATCAAACAAGCAAAACATCCAAATTATCCTATCTGTTCTTTTTTGTTTTTTAACCACTTTTGGGTTTTCCCCTTACAGAAACTACAGAAATAGTCCTTTAGAATAAAATAGTATATTTGTATTTGGAAAAAAAATAATGCTTGAAATGCTTGGAGACACTGGAAGCTGAAAGAGGCGAGGTAGGATTCTCCCCTGGAGCCTTTGGAAGGAGTGGGGCCCTCCTGACTCCTTGAGTTTGGACTTCCACCCTCCAAAACAATGAGAAAATAAAATTTTGTTGTTTTAACCCACCCAGTGTGTGGTAATTTTTTGCACAAACTAACACAATGATAAACGCACAGAACCAAGAAAACTCAATGAATCCCAGGCAAAGCAAACACCCAGAAGACTACACCAAGGCCTGTCATAATCAAGTGCTGGAAACTAGTAGTAAAAAAGAAAATCTTAAAATCCTTTTGAGAAATGAGATAAACTATGAAGAACACAGGACATACGGAATACTTCTCAAGGGAAACCATGCAAGCTAAAAAACAACAGGAAGAAATGTTTAAGGTTGGGGGGAAAAATGTTGACTTAGAATTCTTTACCTGTGGAAAAATATCCTTGAAAAGTAAAGGGGAAATGAAGACTTTTATGGACAAACAGAAAAAGCTAAGAGAATTTATCACCAGAAGACATGCTAGAAATGTTAAAGGAAGTAATTCAAGTGGAAGGAAAATGTTAACAAATGGAAACTTAGATCTGTACAAAGGAATGAAGAGTGCCCCAAAAGGAAAATTTGTGAGTAGGTATAAGAATGTCAATAAAATATTTAAAACCCACAAAAGTAAAGAGAAGAGATATTAGCAGATGAGAAATGTTAACACATCTTAACGTGGAAAGTGGCTGGGGCCTTGCAACTGACTTAGGGGAGCAGAGGGTCCTAGAAGCCAAGCATTCACATAGGGGAACCCCAGGGAGTGTCAGGCCAGATCACGCTTAAAATGTCCAGAACACGCAAGCAGTGAGGGTGGCAGAGGTGTGAGTAAGGCCCAGAGCTTTTAACCCAGAGCTGGTTAAAATTCAGAACCCCTGGCCCTCTCCCCAATCTTGTAAAGCTGGGAGACGGCCCCCTTCCCTTCCACAGTATGCTGGGAATTCATTCTCCATAGAAACA